CCTGTCATCTGCTGTCCGGTAGTTTGGGGTTCACCGCTTTACCAAAATGTTTGACTATGTTCACTATCCTCACCTTGAAATCAACGTACCAACAAATTATATAACAAACCAGCCCTCAGTATGTGTAAAAATTATATTTCCTTCGAATTTTTCAATATGAAACAATGGGTCTTGGCTATGTATACCATAGCACTAAAAGCACTTTGCTTTAAAATAAATATATGGTTTGTCAGGCAGTTCAACTAACTGCCAAAAGCACGGTGAATTGAAAATTGATGAGCAGACCAAACAGTAATGCTTTCAGAACAACAAAAAAAGGTATATTCTGTGAAACTGAAAATAGGAATTCTCATTTGCAAGAGGTTCTATAGGGAATGATAATGAACAGATCCCTGAAACAGTATTTCACCTTCCAGTCAAAAGATGCAATGCAGAGATAGGCAATACTGATTTTCACGCGAACTATGCTGTTGCACGTTGTATCAGTAACATCCTTAAGTCCCTTTTAGTAAAACAAACTGAGACTTACTACCTTAGGAGACAAACATGTCAGATGGTCCTACCTATCAGTTAATATAGTTCTCTTTCCGTAGTGTCCCCTTCAATACAGTAGTACTGTGTTTGTATGGTTATTAAAATGTTTCCATAAAGCAGGAGTTAAAATAAGATGAATAGAAAACATGAAAACAAAAGCACGGAAACTAGCAGAGGCTTCAAAACCTAATTCAATTTAAATAATCAATGAACAGACATGCTAAAATTGCTACATTTCCTAGTCAAAAACTGACTGGTCAAATGAGTGTCTGTAAAAGAAAAGAAACAAAACAACATTTTCAGATGCTGGCAATGATCATTAATGACTATGTGTAAGAGAAATAAATGTAAGAATTTAGCATATAGTGTATATTTTTTAATTTAGTACAATCAACCTGAATACATGTTTTAGGGAATATATTATAAAAACTGCCTATATTTTGAAATGATAGTTGCTATGGACTAAATGTTTGTGTTTTCCAAATTCGTACTTTGAAGCCCTAATCCCAAATGTGATAGTATTTAGAGCTGGGGCCTTTGGGAGGCAGTTAAGTCTTGAGAATGGTACCTTCATTAAGAAGATAGTACTATTATAAGATACACTAGAGACATGACCTCTCTCCCTCTCTGCCCTGTGAAGACACAGGAAGGAGGTGGCTGTCTACAGACCAGGAAGGTCCCGGACTCTCATCAGAAAATAAATCTGCAGGCACCTTGATCTTGGACCTCTCAGTTGCCAGAATGGTGAGAAACATTTGTTTAAGCCATGTGGTTTATGGTATTTGTTACAGCAGCTTAAGCTGATGAGGACAACAGTTAACCTTAAATATGGGACCACTGTAAGCAACTCACAGTATACTGCAATTCAGAGTTCTCATGGAGTTACTGCTCATATAAATACCAGACCATATCTTCAACATCCAATTGACTGTATTTGAGTCCAAATCTCAGTCACCAAAACACTGATCTCACACTCTGGCCTTCTCTCTTCTCCTCATTTTTTAGATAAGCCACTTCTCAACCACAACTCGTGACTACTATGTTTTTTTTCCCGCATTTGTGCCAACTCCTACTAAGCTATCTTCTTCTTCACTGCCAATTCCTTAGTATATTCCTCACAAAGGCTTCTCCAAGTCTCTTCATCTCATTTTCAGAAGATGGATGGTTTACTTATAGATTCATAATTATTTTAGAAATAAAGAATCTTAGGGATATTATTTCCAACTCCATCATTGTACATATAAGTAAATTTAAAGAATTCCTAGAATTTAAAGGACTAGAGCTTTACAGTGAGTCAATTAACTTGAAGCCCCTTACACTGAATTTCAGCATACGCAACTTGATCAATTTATTCTACCTTAGGAGCAGATCTACAGAGAAGTCAAGGGCTCAGACTAAAGCCACATTCCCTGAATTCAGTTCCACCTGGCCTGCTTAATAGCTACATGCATCTGGACAAATGACCAATTCTCTGTAACATTGTGCTGTGACTGTAAGCTAAGTTAAAACATGTAAAAGCACTAGAACTGGGCCCAGCACACAGTAAATGCTAAATTAAAGTTAATTGTGTTCACTATCATTCCCTTTAGAACCTCTGGCAAATGAGAACATGCCCCTCCTCTAAGTTTACTTCTTTTCCACTGTTCTTAATTCCATACTCTATATCCAATAACTCAGGTGTTCCAATCTCTCCTTCAGTAGCTTTAAACAAAACTCTTCCACTTTTCCTTCCTTTGATGCCAAATTTCTTAAATTGGTCTTTTCCATTTCCCACACCTACTTACTACTATAGTTTGCTCCTAACATTCATCCCTTGGCTCTGGGCTCTTCGTTCTCTGAACTCCAACACTTGCTCCTCAGTATGTTACCAAATGCCAAATCTCCACATCTAATTTTGAGTTCCTGCCCAAGCTCTAAACCTATGTGCCTCCAAACATAAGATATCTCTACTTGGGCATCTTACTATGATCTCACACTCAATTTTCCTCTCATGCAAAATGACTTCTAAGGTACCTTCCAAGTATAAACATTTTCAACATAATCTAAACAAATCTTACTATCTTCTCTACCCATTTCACATCAGTTTCCCACTATTACTTTATAGTGTCTGCTATTGGTGGTACTGTATTTCTCCCAGTAACCAAGCTTTGTCTAGACTTACTTCAGAATTTCTGACATCCATTCATTTCTAGCCTATCACTTTACCCGGATCTTTCCAGTCTTCTCCTGATTTTAGTAAACCTCCTCTCAATTTTACATTTATAGCATCCTCATAATATTCTGACACATAATCACCCACTTAAAATCACATCTTCAAATATTCTGTCACATTGTCACCCACTGAAAAACCTCCAATAACTGTCTACAGTTTAGTCCAAATCCTTTATTCTGGCATTCAAATTTTTCTACAATCTGTTCCGAAACCATCTTTGTATCACTACAATCCACTAATCCCTGTAATTATTATATACCTCAGTCAAACTCTACTTACTACCTAAGTTTAACCAACTAGTTCATCTCTATATAATCTTACAACGTCTGCCATCCTGGAATGCCTTTCACCACACTGCTCATATATATCCCAAATATTTTCCAAAACTCAATTCCATTTCATCCTTTCCCATAAAATCTTACAGACAAGGGCAACCTCTCCTTTGTTCGAATTTGCAAGCCATTTATTGCCTATACAACTCATTCGCCACTTTATGTAATGACTCACACGGTTATCTAAATGTGTGTATCATTCATCTCTCAAAACACAATCAAAACCCCAGGAAAGGACAGTATCATATCTCTTCACATCCACAATATTATCACTGAAAGCTGTGCATAACAGGCACTTAATAAAAAACTGCTGATTGTGTGAAGAACACAATCATGTTGCTTTATGAGATACTAACTGCCTGGCTCATGTAATTCCCTTTAAAAGAAATTACAGAAGAAAGAGTAGAAATAGAAAATTACTGTTTTGCAACCACCATAGTAATAATGATTCATGCAAGAATCATCAATGGATGCTAAAACCATCACATGAAAGTTTCTAGGGGAACAGGACATTCATACAGCGTCAAAATATATCTGAACAGATTACTTATGAATTACAAAGGGAAAAAAGGTACCTTCACAGTGGAGAAATCTGGCGGACACCAATGATCAAAGTTAACATCACCAATAATGGGATAAACTGACATCAAGTGCCTCCTGATGTGATGCACTGAGGACACAACATCACTTATGTATTATTCCTGCCAAAAATGCATAACCTGAAACTAGTCATGAGGAAACAATCAGACACACCAAAAACGGAGGGATAATCTACAAAACAACTGACCTATACTCTTCAAATATGTCAATGTGCTGAAAGACAAAGAAAGGCTGAGGAATTGAACATGTGATCCTGGACTGGATCCTGGATCAGAAAACAAATTGCTATAAAGGAGATCACCATTATACAGGACAATTGGTGAAATCTGAATAAGGAATGTATTAGGCAACAGCATTGTATTGTTAAACTGCCTGATTTTGATCATGGTTCTTTGGTTAAGTCAGATAATTTTCTTATTTTTAAAAGAAATGTTGAAAAGTATTTTAGGGTAGAGGAAATCTAAAACTTATTCTCTAATGGTCCAGCAATAATAATGTTGATATTTAACAGTAGTAACAACAAATATCAATAGAAAAACTGGCAAAAATAAATGTAGCAAAATATTAACAACTGGTGAATCTAGGTGAAGGGTACCCAAGAGTTCACACTGTGCTATCTGTAAAACTTTTTTTCAAAATAAAATTTAAAATATAAATAACCCAATACCACATAAAGACTATGAGAAGTTTTTAATCAGTTTGTGGTATTTTACATTTTATTTGACAATCTTAAAGCAAAGAACTGTAATAGAAGTTATTTTCTAAATGAAAATACATTTTACATGCAATGAAGAGTCTACTCTATAAAAACATTTGATCTAAAAAAATACACCTTTCTGAAATCAGTGAACCATTTGTAATAATGTGAACAGCCCACGAATAATTTATCTTTAAAACTCAGTTAAAATATGGTCAATTTTAATTAGTGAACCATCTTAGAAATATTTTTTAAACAATGTAGTTACTATTATCTTCAAATATACAGAAAAAAGAGATAAAGTAAAAACGGGCTGGTGAAATCATTTTAAGGAAAAAAATTTCCTTGTAATTAACATACTAATAAGCACTTGTGAATTACTGAGTTTGCTTATGATTTATAGAATATATTTATTATAAATCACAAAATTCATCTCTCAATTATCAAAATTTTCAATTTAGCTGATTATAAATTTTGCATGAGTGTTTATAATATAGTCACAAATCAGTAATTTCTATAGGCTTCTGGAGCCTTTAAAAAAATACTTCTGGTCAAAGTGCAATACAGTATAAAGGATTTTCTACATTCAATATAGTATTACCAACAGTCCTTTAAAATTTGATACCTTATTTATGAGATGTTCGGTAACAACTTCTCTTAGTCCAGTGTAGAGCTTTTCTCCATGTTTATGCAAAACCATTGTATATGCATTTCTATACAGCTCCTCAAAACTAAGACCACTGTTATTCTTACGCTGGATTTCTTGAATTGCATTTTTCAGAAGATCCCAAATGCTGTTTACATATTTTTCATCCATGGTCATCTGTAATATCCAAGAGAGAGAAAAGACAAAAAAAAAAAAAAAAAAAAAAAAAAAAAAAAAAAAAAAAAAAACCAATGGTTGAAAGTCTTTCTATATTTGTCCATATATAGCAAATATTTTATTACACAGCTATGATTATAAATCTATGACACATAAGAATGTTAACAACCTGTTTTAACAGGGGAAAAAAGGGATACATTTAAAAACAGTTTCAAGATCTGTTAAACACAATTTCTAATCTTTTAAGACCTCCCTCCAATCTTACCTGGAGCAGAACTCTTCACTTTAAATAAAATAATAATGGTTTATATACTCGTAAGTCACTTACCCCTTCTCTCTCTCCCACCAAAACACTTGCCAAGTTAAATCCCAAGAGCCCATGTACTCCTGACACATATCCATACAGCTGAAAGAAAATGAAGAATAACACATGCCCATATTTTTGGTCCATCTGAGTTTAAATTCATCACCAACGTTAAGTGCAGCCTTTATGTGACCCCACAATTCTACTAGTCAGTCTGACTTCTAGATGATTTTATACTATCTCCTCCATCCTCACTTTATGATCATGACTGCTTCCTATTCCACTGAGAAAATAAAAACAACCTGATGAGACACTATACAAATTCCAACCATTCAAAGTCCCAAGTTACTGTACTTGAAGTATAGCATAAGGACCAGACATGTAAGCAACATCTAAGAACTTGTTAGAACTGCAGAATTAAGGGCCCCACTCCAGACCTACAGAAACAGAATCTTCTACATTTTACCAAGAACCCAAGGTAATAATATGCAAAATGAAATCTGACAAGTAAAATCTCTAGTTCTATGCCAAACCACCTATTGAGAAGGCCTCCCTTTACTCATCTCAGCATCATCAAAATTTTTCCTCTGCTCGATAATTTGCATTTATACTGAAAATTGTCAGTGTCACCATGCAGAGTGGCTCATGCCTGTAATCCCAGCACTCCGGGAGACTGAGGAGGAAGGATCACTTGAGCTTAGGAGTCTGACACCAGCTTGGGCAATATAGTGAGATTTTGTCTCTGCAAAAAAAATGTTTAAGAATTAGCTGAGCATGGTGGCGCATGCCTATAGTTTCAGCTACCCAGGAGGATGAGGTAGGAGAATCACTTGAGCCCAGGAGGCAGAGGTTGCAGGGAGCCAGGATCATGCCACTGCACTCCAGCCTGGGTGACAGAGCAAGATCCTGTCTCAAAAAGAAAAAAGAAAAAAAAATTGTCAGTTTCCTATGTTAAAAACAAATCCACACAACCCCATGTATTCCTTCAGAGGAATACATCTAATCTCTCTTTCCATTTATGGCAAAATCACAAGCAAGCTGAAGGAGAGATTCTACATACACTGTCTCCAAGTTCCATCTTTCCATTATATCTTCAATCCACTCCAATAAAACTTTCATCTCTACCATTACACTGAAACTACTCGAGAAAGTTACCAGTGACTTCTATACCGCTAAAATCTAATGGTCAAAGTCTCAGTTCTCATCTTTCTTTGACCTATCCAGCAGCATTTGAAAGAGCTGATCACTCCTACTCCATGAACAAACATGGCCAGGCATGGTGCCTCACACCTGTAATCCCAGCATTTTGGGAGGCCAAAGTAAGGAAAATCACTTGAGCCCAGGGGTTCAACACCAGGCTGAGCAATATGGCAAAACCCTGTCTCTACAAAAAATACAAACATTAGTTGGGCATGGTGGCATGCACCTGTAGTCCCAGCTCCTTGTGGGGGCTGAGGCGGGAGGATGGCTTGAGCCCAGGAGGTTTAGGCTACAGTGAGCTGAGACTGACTGCACCACTACACACCAACCTGGTGACAGAGCAAAACCCTATCTCAAAAAAGAAGAATAAAAAAAGAAACAAATTCCTCACTTACCTTCTAAGAACTACAATCTTTTGTTTTTCTTCTCTTTCTGTCTCCTATTTGTTCGTCTGTTTTACTGGCTCTTAATTATCACCTAAACCTCCAATCCTAAAGCTCAAGCTCTTGATTTCTTATCTATCCACACTCAGTTTCTAGATGGAGTTGATGTCATCTATTCTCATGGTTTTAAATCAATCTCAAAATTGATACATTCTCTACATGCCAGAGTCCTATATCCAGCTCCCTACTCAATGTTTCTACTTGAATGTGTAGGAGGCATCTCGAATTTACCAAGCCTATAACAGAACTCCTAATCTTTTCCCTCAGTTGGTTTCCCCTGAAGTCTTTTCCAACTGAGCAAATGTCTATTCTATCCTTCCAGTTGCTCCAGCCAAAAAGCTTGTGATCATCATTAACTACTCTCTCACCCCAATATTAATCCAACAGAAAATCCTGTTGTTTCTAACTTCAAAATGTATCCCTAGAATTCAACTCTTTCTCACCATTTCCACTGTTACTATCCCGGTCAAACCATCATCATCTCCAACTGGTCTACATTTCTACTCTGGCCTTCTATCATCAGGCAACCAGAGTCAGCTTCTGAAAGCATAAATCAATTCGTATTACTCATTTGCTCAACAACCCTCAAATGATTTCTCATTTCCCTTGGAGGTAGTCAAAGCCATTACAATGTTCTATAAGCTTTGTTGGATCTGATAATCCCTCAACTTCATCCATTTTCCCCCCTTGCTCACTCTGCTCCATGCATTCCTTGGCATACATCAAACAAGCTCATTTCATTGTCTTTGTATTTGCTATTCTTTCTGTCTAGTATGCTCTTCCCTCAGATTCCTGCATGGCTCAAACCTCTACTCAACTGTCATCTTACAGTGAAGTTTTAAATGCCCACCTTATTTACAGTAACAGCCTCACCTCACTACTGATACCCAACTCCAACCCACATTCTTCATTCTCCTCCTAGTCTCCATCTCCACAGCCAAATGTCGGCTTCATGAAGGCAGGGATTTTTTTTCACTGCTAAATTCCTCAGCCTCTGAAACAGTATCTGGCACATAACAAGCATTTATACTTGCTGACTGATTTTCTGCTAATATCTGACTAATGACCCCCTTTTAAATGCCACTTAAAATCTCCAAGTTCTGCATTTACAACCCAAGCAACATTGATCAGCTTCACACATACTTCTGATCTGAACTGGATAAAAATTACTGACTTAGTGGAATCCTCTACAAGTTATGTCTGATGCGTATGAATGTGAAAAGAGGAAGGAGTAGGCAAAATAGTTATTTTAGTCACCCTGGCAGTAAAATACCAGCTCAACTCTCAATCAAGAGGATCCTTAAGCAAATGACTCAAACTGAGTCTTGTTATTCTGATCTTTTCTGGAGAGCTTAAGAAGCAACTCTTTTCAACAGTACAATTTCTTTCCTTTTACCAAAATCCTACGCAAGACCCAGGTGTATCAGAGAGTCTTATCAAATGACTGTAAAAGAATTTACCCCTACACTTATACTGCTACCTATTTTTAATCAGATATCCCTGATACACGGTATGTCATCCATAAAAAACGTACAGATGTGGCTAACTTTTCACAAATAGAAGATGCAAGGCCTTGTAATAATGATGGCCTCAAATAGCATAGCTATGTATGAGCAATGTGGTTTTAGTTTGTTGATAACATATGCTGAGGTTCTAATAAAGCAAACGAAGACACTATCCCTTGACACCGAGTTAACAAATAGATAAAGCAAAATACTCAGAACAATTTCAAAAAAGAGCAAAGTTAATGTGACCTATAAGCCTCAGAGATACCTATACTGCTAACAGATGAGCCCATCAAATTATCTTTTCAGGCTCCGTAACCTAAGATCCCCCGAAAGTCAGAAAAAATATTAAAAGGTCTCTACCCAGGTGAACTATTAAATTTTTCTATTAAAAGCGACATAATTTTAAAACCATAAACATCGTACAAGTATTCTCACATTATAACATAACCATTTTCACATATACAAATCAAGAGTTGTTTTACTACACAAGTTGTACGTAGTGTTTTAGTTTTTTTAAAAAAAAAATTCATGCCTTACTGATAGAGCAGAGATGAGGCTATGGGAAAAAATGTTCCTCCTCATGACAGCTAAGGTTAAAATTTTTTCTAACAAATGAGAAGAGCCAGGCACAGTGGCTCATGCCTGTAATCCCAGGACTTTGGGAGGCCAAGGTGGGTGGATCACTTGAGGTCGGGAGTTTGAGACCAGCCTAGCCAACATGGTGAAACCCCATCCCTACTAAAAATACAAAAATCAGCCACATGTGGTGGTATGTGACCATAATCCCAGCTACTGGGGAAGCTAAGGGAAGAGAATCACTTGAACCTGGGAGTCGGAGGCTGAAGTAAGCAGAGATGGCTCTAGCTCACTCCAGCCTGGGCAACAGAGCAAGACGCTATCTCAAAAAAAAAAAGATTAAATGGCTTACCCCAAATCAGACAGCCGGGATTAGAGCTTATATATCCCCAAACCTAATCTACATCAATGGACTAACATCACATTCCATTGTGCTAATATGGTAGAGTAACATCACAGTTTGAGTCACTGATTATCTTGGTAAACATAGTATATTGGTAGAGAACATAGGTTTTGCTGTCAGACAGGCTTAGGTTTGTGTCCCAGCTTTGTTACTCACAAGCCATGTGACCCTGGGAAAATTAAGTCCTGGGTTCAATAACAATATCTATCTCAAAGTGCTGTCATGAAGATTAAATGAGAACGTCAGTAGATTTAACTCAGGCCAGGGCGCAGTATAATCCTTCACACATCAACTAAAGAAAGTGCCCAACAACAGAATCTCTTAAACTTTCATCAACACTCACCAAATAAATGTCAGAAAGAAACAATAGTTTTAGCAAGCTTAGTAAATAAACCTATGAGCTAAAACAAAAGCTCCTTAAGAGCACCACTATGATAAATGCACTTTATCATATAAAAAAATCATATAAAAGTATAATTTTATAAAACATTCCCCTACCTCTCTTGTATCCTCCTTTTCTAGAGCCATTTAAATCATTTTCATCCCCAGAACTCTGTCCTTGGCTC